AGTAGCTGTGCATTCGCCACAAGCGAATGGACAAGTTGAAAGAATTAACAGAAGCCTCGTAGGAATGTTAGCAAAATCAAGCGATCCTTTAGAACATGCTGATTGGGTAAAACAACTTCTATAAATTGAATTCGCAATAAATAATTCAGTTAATAGATCAATAGGACTAACTCCAAGCCAAGCTTTATTTGGCATAAACCAAAGGGGTGAAACTGTCGATAAGCTGACAGAATATCTAGACGAATGCATTTCAGGCCTGGAGGGGAGGGATTTGGAACTTATCCGTAACTCTGCACAAAAGTGTATATCTAGAGTGCAGGAATATAACTTAAATCGAAGTAAACAAGTACAAAAAAGTGCTATTGAATTTAAGGAAGGCGATTTCGTAGTAATAAAAAACGTAGATACAACAGCAGGAACAAATAAAAAACTTCTGCCAAAATTTAAAGGACCATATGTTGTTCATAAGAAACTTCAAAATGAACGCTACGTAGTAAGAGATATAGAAAACGCCCAAATAACACAAATCCCTTATGAGGGTATAATAGAAGCTTGTAATATAAAGTTATGGAAAGCTAAAGGTAATGCAATTGGTAATGCGGGCAACACTGTCCAATAAAATTAATACACATAAGTAAACTTGTAAATATACTATAAGTAATTTTAATTTAGATGTAATTAACTTGTTAGAAATATTCAAATTATGTTAATGTGATCGAGGTCGATCATATCTAGTCAGGTTGGCCGAGCTGTAGTAGAATTAAAGAATAAATATAAATGGCTGGCAACCCTATTGATGACTAACGAATATAAAGAATAACAAATAAAGAATCAAGCAGTGTGTAATAAGAAACTAAATGAAGCGGTTGTGTTTTATTACTACAATTTGGTTCTTATTTTTGTGTTGGTTTGTGTACAAAAACAAAAACTAAATTAAATCTTCACAAAAACTAAACTAAATTGGGATTCTTTAATACATTTTGTATGGAATCACAAAAACAGCTATCTTGTATAAAAAATACATGCGTAATATTAAGGATAAAAGGAGTAAGAATGATAACTATTTACTTAAACATAAGTTTAGACAACTTTTTGTTGCTGCTTTTTTTCATAAAAATTTTTGAACTATCTGTTATTTTCGGTCCCTGATAAATATCCATCTAATAATAAATTCAAAATTAAAATACGAATAGAAAATCAATTCATCAATAAAATATTTCGCCTCAAGACCAATCATAATGTAAACCAGTTTTCCGTACAATTTTTATGCGATATACATAATAATATTGTATGCTTTTAAATCATCATTTCACGCACTTTTATTTCCGAGTATGCACACAAAATGTGCTGCCAGTAGAAAACGGATCGATCCGTCATCGAAGACGTCATCAAGACATGGATACATACATGAAGACCGATCGATCCAAATGTATGACGGTCTTCGAAGACACTTTCATACAAATTAGCCAAATGTCTTCAATGAATTTTTGCGTACATGTCTCGAAGACCGTCTCGAAGACCATGTCTTGCATAACGGACGCATTCGACAGAAAATTGTGCGCTATTAGTGCAGTGCTCATATAATTTTTTCACCCTTTTTTTTATTTCTACTCTTTTATTGCGCTCTTTAAATTTTAAATAAATTTCAATTTTCTCTTTAAATAAGTAGAAAGAAATTATTGTATTTTGTACTTTTATTTATTTTATATAATAATTTTTTACATTACATTCAAAATTAAAAGTTTTAAAAGTAAATTATAAATTTTGTTATAAATTGTTATAAATTTTATTAAGGTATTAAAAATAAATTAAATTAAACAATGAAACTTAAAAACTAGTAAACATAATGAAAATTAATTTAAATTATTAACTGAATATAACTTAGCATATCTAAAATTAACTAAAACTAATATAAAATAATTTATAGCATTTCGCTATCATCAATTGTTGAAGTTTTATGTTTTCAAAAGCGTTGAAGAGGATTTTGGTACAATTAAACCTTCTGATCTTAAGAGTTCTAAAATATCATTACCACAACGCCTGTTAATCCTGTGTTTTTTAAATATAACAGCTAATTTTTCACAAGTGTTTTTAGTTTTTTTATTTTCAACATCCTTTGTTTTGTTTCTTAAACAACTTTCACTGGAATTATTGTCTTCAATATTAATATCAATATATTTTCCAGGAACTAAGTCAATATTTCATTTGTTTTGATTTAATTTCTTTTTTTTAATATTTCATAGTTTAATGATTTTGTTTCTTTATTCATTTTGATTTTTTTAATATTTATTTCACAAATGTTTATTCACTACACTTCAAAATTATTGCGTCACTTTATTTATAAAACATAGCGTCATCTGAGGCAAAATTCAAATACGTCGCTATGAACACTAAAAATGAGAGAGAAAGCAAAGAAAGAGTATTTACATTCATGTTTTGAGCAATTGTTTTGCAAATTTGCTTGAACATGTGGACGCAATATCAAAGACCGTCTTGAAGACAATGTCTTCGAAGACCACTTTTTCTACTGGGATTATGTGCGGTACAAACTGGCTGCAGCACACACAAAGAGCAAAAACACTGAATGCATGTGTGAGTTTTATTTCTCCACCACATTCTTGTAAAAGATATAATTTATTTGTGCACTTAAGTGGTGCATTTTTCTTTGTAAATAAAATTTTCGCACACCACATTTGTGGTGTGAAATTTGCACAACAACAAAATAATTTTAATATTATTTTCAATCAAATTAGTTTTAAAATGATTATATAAAAAATCAAAAAATTGTAATTATGGTTTTTATATTTCTTGCCTATATATACATATATCAGCCTATACTAGCAAATGAAAATTGATTATAAATCTTACTGACCATAAATGTCAAGCAATCTACAAAATAGATGTTGAAATGGAATGTGTTTTCAATGGCATGTATTTATTAAAATATAATTGTGCAACAAATTTGTTTACATATAAGAGTTAAAAATATATAGCATGTAAAAAGTAAATAATTGTTTTTTAGCATAACTATTTGTTTGAAAAATATTGAAACGTCCGCAAAGATAAAACTAACTTTGTGTTATTAGTTGTAGTTAAATGTATTTTTTTGATTGTTGATTTTCCACATGATATTCAGTTGACATTTACTTATAAATTAAATTTTTAAATTAAATTTTTATTTTAATATTTTTTTTTGCTTTTAGTTTATGTATATTTAAATTTGCAATTAATTTTTAAGAGTATTGTAATTATAATTGTTAATAATATTTTTGTAAAAATCTGTAAAAAATTATAACGAATAAATAAGGATGGGTATGTCTTTTGGGGAACCGGCGCCTAAACTCTGTAACGCACCTTTATGCATACCTCTTGGGTGGTGTGGAAAATGCATACCAAATCTTGAACTTTGGTCCAATAAATTAAAAAGCTAAATAAACTAAATGTAGAAATGGGAATATACAAGGGATGTAAAAAATTTGTTGTGGTTTTTTTTAAATTTCCACACAATAATGATGAAAGAATGTGATGTGCGTGAGTGGCTCGCTCACATTTGCGGGAAGAATTGGATAGACGTCCAAAGAAGCCCATTATAATGACAAAGGGAAAACTGAAGGTGGCACAGCTGAAGAGTTGTAAAATATTGGGCCAAATCAAGTAGTAGTTATTATTAAATAGAAGAGCTTGGCCACTAAATATTAATTGTTATCGAAAATATTTTTTTTAAATTTGTTTTTTAATTTTTGCATTAGCTGTGCCAATAATTTTGTTCAGCCAAATTTATTTTTTTTTTGGTTTTTTAATTTTAAAAAATTAAATATAAGAGCAAATAAAATGAAATGAAATGAATTTAAAAGCAAATTAAGCATTTAATCTAAAAAAATTTTTTGTTGATTAAAAATCGCTTCATTAACAGGATGAAAATAGTGCTAAAGTTCAATTTGCTTGCTGTGCCAATAATTTTGTTCGTCACTATATATGCATACATGTAATCAAAGAAGATTTTATATAAAATGAAAACATAAAAAAGCTCAACATAACCTACCAACAAACACACTTTCAGAAAATGCACAAATACCGAATGTACTTTTGCAGGTACCATAAGCTGCAAATAATCATTCGTTCGCAAGCATTCGCTTTGGTGTGGATGCACCTTAAGGAGTAACATAAGCGAATTTCAGCTGCTAGGTGTGCGGAGTAGTTGGCCGCACATTTATACGTTGCAAGTGCGTTCGATTTTGTTTGAATACTGCATAAAAATGTATAATTTTGAGTACAGACTCTTTTGTTTGAAAAGAGTTGCTTTGGTGTTGTGAGAAGTATGAGAAAAGTTGTGGTTATTCTGTATTGATATAGTATTAAACTTATATGTATATAAATTAATCATTTTTGGTGGCATACTCCTTTGACGTAAAGCAGCCCATATAAAACGTCTATTCAGACTATAGGCTTTATAGAGTCTATAAATGCTGCATAAACAGAACACCTAAATTCGTTATATTGTTCGAACACGATACGGAGAGTGTTGACCAGGTCGACATAAAATTGATTTCGCCTAAAATCATGTTGATTCTCACGTTGGAGTTCTTCAGTGACTGGTGAGATACGAGTTAGTAAAATCAAAGTGAGTGTTTTGCTGGACACGGGGAGCAGCGTGATACCTCGGTTGTTGTGACAATTGGAGCCATCATCCTTCTTCGGAATCTTCACGAGCACACATTCATTCCAAGAAAATGAAATTTTATACAAATTAAGTTTATTTATTTAAATGTATACATTTATATATTTTAATTGTTTTTTGGCTCACTAATAAAGTTTATTCATTTAAATTTATATAAATTAAGCTTATGCATTTATATATTTTAATTTTTTCTTTGTTCATTGCACAGAATAGATGCTTATGCCGAAGATCCACGTGAAGAAGTGAACGCATGAATTTCTGTTCTGTGCAATTTACGCAAATTTTAGCAAAACTGTTAAAATTGAAAGCAAAACTGAAATTGTTAAAACGGTAATTCGTTTTGGTAATATTCGCATTTAGAACTTCTTGAGTAGTGTAGATTACCACCCTTACAGTTTTCCGGACATTGGGTGCATTTTGGTTGAGCCGAGCACGATTTTGCTCTATGACCATCTTCTCCGCATCTCATACATGTGCTAGATTTATCATTATCGCTTTTGCAATGTCTAGCAGCATGTCTAAATTGAAGACATTTAAAGCACCTCGTGGGTGTGATATGCTTTCTGATTCTACTGCGTACCCAGCCCACTCTGATTGAGGCAGCTATGATCAGTACACTGGCATCCTTAGAAGGGAGATCGATAATCACTGTTCGTGTATTGTCCCTTGCGTAACACCAAAACTTGACGTTGATGTCGCTTACGTTTATTGCTGGAAATTGGTCAGCATCCCTGCATTCTATTAGGGTGCGTTGTGTTAAGGATTTTACACTAGTATAATCCTGAAGTGTGTTCTTCATTTCAGTGCATAAGTCCTTAGCTAAAGTTCCAGCTTCTTTGGTAAGCTGAATCAATATATCCCCGTTCGTTGTTTTTTGAATTCTGTTCACATTTTTTCCGAATTCTTGAAGCTCTGGTTTTGATTTAATGAGCTTTAACATTTCAGCGTAAGACTTGTCTGCCGTCTTGCTAATAAGAATAGCTTTGGGTCTCACTCTTTGCGCTTTAACGAGGTCCAGTTTTGTCACAGTTTTCCTCTTTTTATTTTCCACTAGTTGCCATTTGTTGCAAGGCGTTCCATGTTCCTTGCTTCCAATTTCCCTAATCTGAACTTTGGGTGGTGGACCGTTCGGTTTCTCATTTGCAGAACGCTTTAGTGCTCTCTGAGTTTGCACGCTAATGGAAGTCACTCTTTTAGCTGCTACCGGTACTAGTAACCCCCTTTGTTGTTCCGACTTATACATCTTAACTACCTGTGCTGTGTGAAATAACTTGTGCATAAACACCGAATGCGTGTGCGAGTTTTATTTCACTTCTCCATATTCGTGTGAAATGTGTATTTTGTTTGAGCACACAAGATGTGCACTTTTTTTTGTGAATAAAATTTTCGCACACCACATTTGTGGTGTAAAATTTTATTTAGATGCACACAACATTTGTGCGTGGTGCTTTGCATTTTTGTGCACAGCGCAGTGTTTTCCTGAACCCTGAAAAGAACTTGAGAGAATGTGTACAAAACTTATTAACAAGGATCAGTCCAGTTTTGTTACCTATGCTGCTAAGTTGAATTCAGGATTTAATAAAAATGTGCCAATCACTCTTAAGCCAAAGAATAAACAGCAAAGTGAAGAAACAAAAAAGGAATTAAAGCTAAAAATAAATCCATCAAATCTAAATGTTAAAATTCATGGTTTTATGAGTACTCAAGATGGAGGAGTACAAATTAAATGCGGTACTACTGAAGTGAAATTTTAGCTAGTGAAATGAAAAAAAACCTTAGTGACTGTTTATGTTTATATTTATTTTAATATTATTTAATAATTTTTTGTTGTGATTACCACACAAATATTTGGTTAGATGTGTTTACATTTTATTTAGGCCAACCTGCGACCAGTTATTGACCAACGAAAAGTGCATTTCTGCAATATCAGCTTTTCTTGTTGGTCATTGCACTGAAGAAAGTGTGTCATATTTTGGCTTATAATTATGTTAGCACAGCGTAGGCAAATTTATTGTTTTGTGAATTATGCATTAATATTTATTGTTAATTAATGCATAATTCAATATTTTTTATATGAAATAGTTTTGTATAAATAGAATAAATAATTTTAATAAAGTCCAGAAATACAGAAAAATAAATACCAATCAATTCTTGATCTTATTTCTCACATCGATTAGTTTGGGTTACAAGTGCTCAAGCTACTTCACACGCAAAATAGGCTACGAAGCTAATACAGATTAAGGATCTGGGTTAGCATCAAGTAGCGTACAGTGACAATTATGATATTTCAACATCGGATATGCGTAATCCTAAAATATTGATATCTGGAATGTCTGAAAAATTAGATAATGATAAAATTATAAATGCAATTAAATATCAGAATGAGATTCGTTCAGTTAAAGTGCGAAAGGTGTATGAATCATACAAAAACAAAAACATTTTTAATGCTATTGTTGAATTAGACAGTACTGCATTTACTAAAATAATGAAACAGCGTAGAATTAATGTGGGTTGGGATAGATGCATTGCTTATGAGGGTTTTAACGTAATGAGGTGCTTTAAGTATTGGGGCTTCAATCATAAAGCAAATATATGTGAAGAAACCGGAGGGACTTGTGGAAAATGCAGCGAAATTGGGCACTCTCATAAAAAGTGTGTTAGCAACATTATAAAATGTATGAACTGCGTGAAGATGCTAAAAACTCGTAATCTCAAGAATATCTCTACGGATTATGATTGTAGGAATATGAACTGTAAAACGTTACAACGAAGACTTAAATTTGAGGCAGATAAAGTTAATTATCAATCATGAATGATCATAAAACCTATATGATATATATTTTTCTATAAAAGGTTATGTTTTATATCGCCACTATAGAAAAAAAAGAAAAAGAGGTGGTGTTGCAATTTATTGCAAATCTTATTTAAGTAGTCAGTTAATAT